TCAGATCTTTTATGAGAAGTAATGATTAATATAGGAATACCACCTACTTCTATTACAGGGTTCCAACGGGTCATTAAAAATCATTAAAAGCCATAAAATTATAATTTTTTTTTAAATTAAGGCCTTAATTGGCATTTAAATTCCTTATTTATTATGATTATTGTGTCATTTGAAATGCTTTATTTAAAAAAAAAAAACATTTCTAAAACAATTTCTTCAGATATATCAGATATAACTGGTTTTGAGTGTTTGTGCGAAACTGCTTCCAGTTGATCTTAAAGCCATATGTTCGGAAAAGAAGCTCAAGGTGGAGAAAAAGCTAGACAATGGGAATATGCAAACTTCAACTAAAGTGGCTGGAAAACGAGGAATCCGTGACATGGCTGCAGCCTTGTTGACGGCATTAAAATTAGCATTAAAAGAGCATTACAAAGCATTCAATTAGAGTTACTCAGTCCTGTATAAACTCTGTATTAAAAACTGTCTTGATATAAATGTTACTACTAATATGAAACTGTCTTCTGGGTGTAAAAGGACTTAATAACAGAGATTAAACCTGTTTCCACAACAGTTCACAGAGAGGGGACATGTCCTCACATCACCTCTCAAATGACATCTAAATCAGGACAAAGAAAGGGGGGGAGGGGTACGTGCGGTGGGTTTCAATAAAGCAGGACTCACGTGGCTACATAAAATAGCCTGTGGGATGCAGACATGGCCAGAAGTAGGCCTCGGATTAAGTGAAACAAGGACAAAGAGACAGGAGCGGTTAATGCTGATGAGCATTGAAAGAAAGGGGAAGAAAAAGGCAGAAAAGGTAAGAAAATGATTTGAGAATACGAAGGGAGGAAGAAAGGAATCCCAGTCAGAGTGAAACCCTGTAAAAACATAAACACTGCTGACGCTGGTATTCTGACAATTAACACCTGATGCAACTGCAAAGAAATGCAGTGAGAACATATAACTATAATGCATGCTAACCTTCAGTGTTGCTCTAAGTACCTGGGTTTGCATAGCAGTGGTTTAAAGCCATGAGTGCGCCTTGTTCTGGTGAAGCATAAGTGTGATTTTGACAGGCCAGATGTGCCCAGGAGAAAAACACCAAACCTACACTGTTTGTCATTATGTGACAAAAACAGCCTTGTTTACTGGTGTAGCACCAGGTGAATAATTAAAAGCATGCAGATGGTGAAATGGGGGAAGATGGGAGTAAACACCTCTAAAAATCTGTAAAAACAAATCCCCGCAACATGCAGTTTCATTAGGAGAGCCGATAAACCGCCTTTAATATTCTCTTTTAAAAACTGTCTTTTCTAACCGCTGCATCTATATTCTCCTTTTGTCTCACTTTTATCACAGCTTAATAGAAAGTGTTGCATTTATTGTTTATATAACAGGATTAAATAATAAGCCATCTTTTTCTCTTCCTTACCAGATTCTTCCATTTTTACAGATTCATAGTTTGACAATACCTAAAGTCTTTTTCTAATATTCTTGTATAAATATGTGACAGAAAAAGAATTTAGCTGTCTAAACCGAAAAGGTCGAGGTTCGTCAGACATCAGATGGCTCCTATGCTTGTTTTTTTCTCTCTTTTTATTTTTATTTTATGTGTTTTTGCAAGAATGGGAGAGAATTAATGAGACGCTGTAAACATCCCTGATAAGATAAATACACAGTGTATGTGGGGTATGCTGCATCTCCAAGCATCAACACTCATAAACCAGCCTATTTATTATAACATACCTAAATCCACAAACATCACAATAAATGCTGGACTAAGTTTACATTTACAGTATAAGATATAAGAGGAGAATAAACACAGCATCATGGTTTTATTCATGTGGGAATAGATGCTGTACTTCTGATAGCTGGGAAATAGTTCATTATTTGGTGTTTCAGTTGAAAAAATTGTTAAAACATTGATTAATCGGCATTTATTATCATGATGCCAAATTTACATGTTTGTCTTTTTCTTCATGCAGCTCAAGTCATTTCCATGAATAGCTCGATGTTCTGCATTTCAAAGTTCCCTACAGATTCACTCCATTTATGGTTTTTTGAGCTATTTGTTTACCTTTAGGCTACAAAGCGGCTTGTGTATTGTGCTCATTGCAGTGACTGAAAGAACTGAGCTCCTGATTTTAATTGTTAACAGTGTTACTGGATCGGTGCTGTTATTTAGCGCATTAATTGGTCGATATGAGCGGCAGACTTGTTACTATTGACTAGACTGCTGCTGCTGCTGCTGGTGTTGCTGTGCATTTGGAGGAACACAAATTTTTTGTCACTATTGCTGATATTCTGATACGACGCTTGATTATGTAATAAAATGTATACAACTTGTAATAATCATACAATTTGGCCTTTTATTAATGCCTTTTATTAATTTTTCTGTCAAACACTCAGTTTCAGTAAAGCTCTGCCTGTTTGTTGTAAGCCTGTTAAATCTGGTGAATTCAATGCAACATATTTATTTAGAGGCAAGGTGATGTTTAGATTGCATCAATTAAGGCACATAATAAATCAATTACCATTTTTCAGTGAATAGAAACTGTTTCTCAAACATTTCCTGTGTCAGGATATTTTTTAGAGGATATTTCAATCCAACTCCACTCTGCAGTGTCCTTTACTGAAGATTGATGGAATTGGTTTAAACATGGTTGCACGTCGGTTTCCACTGCTGTTTATTTCATAGACTATGTCCAGATGGTATAAGTGTGGAAAAATCTCACTGTGGGGAACTGGCAGTAATTGACGGATTGGCTATTCCACAACATTTGGAAAAGGATCCTCTTTCTGTCATCTTTTTTTATCTAATGACAGTTATTTCGCCGTTTTGCAGATTTTATGGGCGCAGGTGTGTGTGTGGGTGGGTGTGGGTGTGTGTGTGGCTGCAACTTGAACTAATCCATCTAGCCAGTAGCTGAAAGATGCAGAGTGTGGCTGTCAGTGCTACATATGCTAATAGCCTGAAGCCTGTTTGGATAAAAAGAGAAAAGGCACGTCCCTCTTGTCAGAGCGAGCAACACGCGTCAATTCTTTAAGTTTCATTTATAGCTGGCAGACATTTCTACCTTTCCTATCCGTTTCATATCTCTGCTGCTTCTTCTTCCTCGTAGGTTTATTAGTTTAATCTCGGAGTGAAGATTTCTTTATTGTCACTCAGGTTTAAAATTCTGTTTTTTCCCTCTTTTTTTGGGTAGTGATGGAGCCCATGACGGTGACTACGTCAGTGGTTGGACCCGACGAGTTCGACCGCAATGCCCCACGGATCTGCGGAGTGTGCGGGGACAAGGCCACCGGCTTCCACTTCAACGCCATGACCTGTGAGGGCTGCAAGGGCTTCTTTAGGTGGGTTGATGCATTTTCATAGCCAACATAATCGACAGGCTGTCATCCTAAGAGAAAACACCGCCCTTTAAATTAACTTTGAGGATCGCAAGTTTTTAAAGAGCTTTTTTTTTTTTTCTTTTTAGTTTTATTTATTTTAAAACTAACACCCAGTAAGGATTGGAACATTTAAGCATCAAAAACAGAAATTGAAAAAAAGGTGTTTAGCATTTCTTTTATCTAAAGTATTTAACAATCATTTTTGATTTGTAGCAAAAGGCTTAAAGTAGTGACTCCATCACAAATAGGATGGAATTGGACTGAAGGGCATTTAATTTAAATTAGATTAAATGATCCGGAATTTAAACTGAAGATATTAATAGCATTTAGATATATTTGGATTCAGTAAAGCTTGATGCCTTGAAATGACATGACATTTTAGTTGGCTTTAAGAAAATGGAATCTCTGCAGAGTTCATGATTACTGTTGCTAAGTAATGATCAGGATTTTTTCCAGTTGATACAAGGTTTCATTTTTTTCTTTCTAAGGACTCAATCCCATAAAATAAATGCAAGTTTTTATATTTAACAGCAATTAAATGCAAGATTTGTCTCACTTATAAAACAAACCATACAATTAATATTCAGCTGTAAACAGTTTATTTTATCAAAGCTCTTGTTCTCTGTTAAAGAGTGAAAAGTTAGACTTAGACTTTATTTATCCCTTCAGGGAAATTCTGGTTCCAGTAGCTTATATAGAGTACATGCCATTAAAGATAAAAACATGACAGATAATATAAAAAAGAGTGTATATAGTAACAAAAAAGCATTAATAAAAAGGAAAAAAGATTCATTTTCCTGGGATATCTTTCCTTTAGATATAAAAATATCTGCTCATTAGAGAGCTAAGGGAAGAATACATAGACGTTGACTTGGGTTATTGCACCAACTCTGCAGAAATGCTCTGCAGAGTTGGTGCATTGATGTTCATCATTTAGTAGTTTTAGTTTAGATGATATTAATGGATATTTAATTTGTGTTAACAATCCAGAAATTAATGATTTATGATTCTTTTTTTTTTTTTTTTGTTACTTTACTGGTCTTGTCTTCTTGGACATGTGGCTGCTACCTGTACTTCATAGCTGTGTTTCACACTCACTAATGTATGGTTACAGTTTGAGGTGGGGGTTCATAATGACATCATCTCGTCCGACCACGTGAGGCTGCTCTCAATGCTTTCAGAAACATCCATTATTCATTCAAGTCACTAATCCTCTCACTAACTGAAGCGGAAGAAAAAACATCCAAATTTTACTGGAAATCTGGTTTTAAAAACATTTTTGTAGACCATTTATCACCAGGTAACTAGATAGTTTTGAATACATTTTATTCCTCTTAGACTTCTGCAGAAGTAGGTGCTGTTTTCTGTGTAGTTACCGAACACATTTTGCACTCATTACAGACGCAGCATGAAACGTAAAGCCTCCTTCACCTGTCCTTTCAACGGGAGCTGCACCATCACTAAAGACAACCGGCGCCACTGCCAAGCCTGTCGTCTTAAACGCTGCATCGACATCGGCATGATGAAAGAATGTGAGTTTGGTGGCTTTTAAACACTTTGATACTCCAAAGGTACTATCGCTCCATATTAGCAGTTTGTTCATCGTTTCAACTGTGCTTCATGTTTGAAGTAATCCCAGAAGACTCCTGGATTATGAGAGGGGAGGTTGATCAAGACTCACTTAGCCGTTACTGCTGTGTGATGTAATTAACCGCTGGAGACTTTGTGCTGAAGATGTTTTCAGAATCGGAGGTCGGGCTGTGAGGCGACATTATTCTAGCATACAGGAAACATGACATGATAACAGGGGAGATTTGTTTCCTTTTTCAGCTCTTTAAGGAAAGAGTTCTGGTAAGCTGATTTGCTGCGTCATCATTTAAAAATTAAATAATCTTTCAAGTCACGGTTGGAACTAGAACAACATTCCAAAAAAGTAAAAAACTAGTTTGAAGACATTTCGCTTACCATCTAGGAAGCTTTTCAATTCCAAATTTGACATTTTGAATTTAATCGAAACATCTTCAAATTTGTTTTTTTTTTTACTTTTTTGGAATGGCTATGACATGGGCGACTGAGAATCTTTACCAGCAACTAGAATTACCATGATCTGGAATATTTGTACTGGAAATCGACTCATAAAGGTTATTTTGACATCAGTGGACCTGATCCCCAATACTGCTGCAGATTTTTCAGGTTGTTTTATTGTAAAAAATGACAGTGCTAAAAAAAAAAAAAAAAAAAAGTTAAACAAAAAATGATTAAATTAAATCATTACAAAAAAGAAAATGTATGAACAGCTGAAAATATCAGCCTGTTGATGCAAAGGACCGACTCTGATCTGCATCTATCAGTTTTTGGATGGAGTTCAGTTTAATGAATCGTAAAATGAAAGGGTTGCCTCGGTAGTGCTCACAGAGCCATACATATTAAGCCGGAAAGTTGACCTGTTCTATCTGGTTCCGACACCTTCGGAGAAAACCAACACACCTTTATTGATAAACTTGCGTTTACTTCTGGGTAAAAACAATAATTTTAGTTACACAAAACTCAGTGGAAACTAAAAGAACCCTCTTTGGTTTGGGTTAAGCCAGTTCACGTCCTAAAAAGCTTCAATTTATATCTGGTAACATATTATTCAAACCTTGATCAATCCTATTATATGGTCAATTTTAGATCCAGTTTCACACATTCTATTATGCATTGATAAAGGTTCGGTATCAGGATCAGTGCCTATGATATCTGAAAATGCTTTAATAAACAGTAGGTAGCTTCCTCAGTCCGTCTGCAGCCTGCTGTCCTCAGCAGCGCTGAGTATTTCAGGAGGGCAGTGAAAAGTGAGAAGCATTCCAGACATCACTGTAGATTCTTTGTAGCACTATTTGAGCAGTGGCTATAAGCTTTAAAACAACGGTTTGATTCCAGACATGTTCAGCGTAACTCGGTATGAACCAAAAAAAGAAGCGTTTTTCTGCTGCGGTTTGTCAGACACCATCGCCATGTTCCAAAATGTCAATTTACTGAAACTTTTAAATAATTTGATTAGGATTCCTACCGAACATAATTTAACTTACTTAAGATGAAGTTGTTGGGAAACGGCTGTTCCAACTTTTGCATTTCCTAATTCTCCGAGTGGTGCACGACTTTACACAAGTGAATATAGTGAACGTTATTGGTCGTTTATCTATGGGGCGGGATTGTTGTGGTGGAAGGTTCGCAAGCACATTTGATTGTGACTGGATTCTCAGAAGCATCTTGCTAACCAGTTAGCAACTTAGTGCTAGTAGATTCCCAATGGGAAATTACATTGGGACCAAGTAGCACTTAACAACAACAATGTCAAGGAACGCTATGGACAGCAGAAACATGCAAGAGGAGGAGAGTTTTGTGTCGGAGGTCGTGGATGAGTCTCCTCTGTCATACATTTTTTATTTAAAGGAGGAAAGCGGGGACAAAGTTGTTGTGGAAGAGGACGCCAGGGCGGCAGAAGCGTGGTTTGGTGTAGAAGGCTTACAGCCGTACATTTTTGAGCCCTTGCCTCGCAACGCTGCCAGTTCTGTTAGCTCTACGCCTGCTGAAGGCACAGACGTTCATCCCCGTTAACACTGGGACGGAACTCAATGGGAAAGTAGATTATTCTTATTTCTCATTTCAACTGTTGCGTATATTAGCTGTGACATATGAATCAAGATGCTATGACCGAAAAAATTTTTATTGACAGATGACCGTTGAAATATGATTGGCTGAATTTAGGTGTTCAGGCTGACATATAACTAAAGGGCCTGCATAAGATAACAAAAAACCCCCACAGATTTTAAGACAGGATTTTTTTTAAATGAGTACATTTACATTCATGTTTAAGCTAGAATGATTTGACATTTAAATATTATTTCCCTATGACTTTAAGCTTATCTCATGCCAAACCCTATTTTAATATTTCAAATAAATCCAGCCACATTATTTTGCTTAAAAACACAATAACTTTAAAGTTACAGTAAAATATTCAACTCTCTCACTGATGACGTCCGGACTCTGCAGCCCTGCTTTTACTTCATATAAAGTTTTAAAGAAACGTCCGAGGTTGACATGCAAAGCTGGTTTCTTCATCAGTCTTAACAAATCAATCTGCTGAAGTGCTTGGCTGAAACATCTAGTATCTAGTTTCTGTTTTAAGATGTGACCATTTTGGCGCGCCGGGTGGGAGTGACATGATGATATGATGACATAGTGATGTCATCAGAACATACTGTTTTCTATTAAATTGAGTATTGTAGTTTTGATTACAAGTTTATTTTGTGTTTTCCCATTAGTATTTCTTTTGTTATTTATATTATTATCATTATTTTTGTATAGCTAAGAGTTTATTTGAGTTAGAAGTAATTGCTTAGTTTTTTTTGCCTCCTGTGGGCGGAGCCCGTAGCTTAAAAAGCAGGGCTCTGTTCCACTGCGAGGCAGTCTGTGGCTGGACTCCTGAGAAGTCACACTGACGGTGATGACTCTGACATTGAAGGTACTGCTGTTTGTCTGATTTTAACATGCCTTGGACGTCCTTGTAAATATTCTGCACCAACCATCTTTGTTCACCAGAAGAAAAAAGCTCAATAAAAGTCACTAAAGTGATCTCTGGCCTTGGCCAGTCATTTATGTTTGACCTAGTCATAATAGAACCCCGTCACAGTGGGGTTTGAGTACATCTGTAAAAAAAAACTCAGAAAAAAAACCCTGATATTCCCGCAGACTGTCAGCATTTTAGAGAAGATCATGTGACACGGACAGAGAGGGCTCTGCAGCCCCTAGTGTAGTCTGTCTGTCCATGAATGTCTCGTTAAAGGGTAAAAATAACTTAGATTTGGACTGTTTGTTATTAAAGCCACTAAATAATGTTCAGGACAATACATACAGCCATAGGGAAAGGATATTTGAAATTGCTTAATTGGAAGTTGCAATAAATCACCAGAATCAGATACTTGGAATTTGATTGGGGCCTCCGCTTTCAAACACTGGAGAAACCAAATATTTTAGTTTATTCCGTCTGCAGTATTGGTTTGCATATTGAGCATGTGGTGAAAACCAAAATTATGTATTTTTTAGTTTAGTGAGCTTTGCTCTGATCCCAGAAAACTTAGTCATGTGGTGGAAAAGTAAATTTTTATGACAGAATGTGAAAAAAAGCCACAGTTAGTTTTTATTTCATCTCAGACAGTCCTCCACATTTATTTTTATTCTTTTGTTATAGTGACATTATAACAGCTTAGTGGCGGAGCATGAGGTTGGGAAGAAAAAATCTCCACTTTCTTTGTTTCATTAATTGTACTCCTGAGGTTATACCACATACATAAAAAAATGGATATAGTTGAGTCAGAAATTCTGGACAGTCCTACGATAAATGTTTAATCCAAGAAAACAATAGAAGAAAAAATGAATAACTAGAAGGCACAGAAGGCAATGGACATTTTCAAATAGTTTAAAATAGACTATTTTAAACTATAGTCTATTTATTCCACCTGTTTCCTTCTCTTTTCATGTTAATAAAATAGATTCAGCTCCAGATTTTTTCCCCCACACTTTGGACTTATTTGGACTGGTCAATGTTTTTTCTCCTCAACTGGAGGAACAAATGTCAGTTAATAAAATCAAGTTTCAGCGATGCTTTGATTTTAAGCCCCAATGTAGCATCTTTGTCTCTTTCTCAGCCTGAAAATCCTCTGATGTTTTATTCATTTTTTTCCTCTGAGTTACAGTAGAGCCGCTGCTCTCATGCTGCACACGGCTTGCCTTGTAACGCCACTCATATATAAAATATACATTTGTTTTGACTTTATTTTTGTCCCCTTTTCAGCGCCAGTTATGGTGCAGCCATGAAGAAAAAATAACGATAGACTGGAAAACATTGTAACGTTGTAAAATGTTAATATTAATAATATAAGGATAATCACAAAAAATAAAAAATAAAAACAGCCTGAAATCTAAAATAATAGTACACAATAATAGCGTTCAGCCTCCCTCATTTGTAGTGCCCCTTAATCACTTTTGAACTGTGCTTGGTAAGTAGTGTTTTTAAATCTATATGGTGTCAGTGTAGCTTGTTTTGTCAGGAAGACGCAGCCTAATCTAATACTTGAAGAAACAGGAGGCAGTAGAATCAATGGGTTGGTGAAAACTGATCTTATTTACAGCAAGGAAATGGGTAATAGAGTTTACAGTCCATATGCATTAGGTCGGCGGTACCATATGGCAAACTCAGTCCTAGGTCAAAGAAGTAGCTTCATACAATTAGTGTTTTTCACTCTGCTTTTATCCAACCAGATGGTTGTTAAGAGTCACAAAAACAGCATTGTCTCAGTGTTTGAAAGGCAGCTTGTTTCCAGTTATTCTTAACCTTGTTGGTTATGCATGCAGACCACCAGGCATGGGTGTAACACAAGAACTAGACAACGTGAGGGGAGAAAAAAATGTCTCCTAACCCCCAGAAAATGCAGGGTGACGCCTTGTTTTAACTTTAGAGTCTCCTCATTGATGATCTCCTTATCCAGCA